TGAACACCGAAAACACTATGCGATCTAAATTGTCTTTTTCAGGAGGGACACGGAAATTAACCCACTAAAGTGCCCGGATTATATTATATATTATACTTTATAGGCAAGTCTCGTCCAATAAACCTCAATATCTCAAAACAAGTGTGCGTGTTGCCAGCGATAATCTATGGAACCAAGACATGGTCATTTACTTTTGAAGGCAAGAGAAAACTTAACGCCGTTCTGCAAGCTATGGAGATGGCCGTGCTCGGGGTTAATTTGCGTAACAGAATCCGTTTCGAAGATATCCGCAGCAGAACCAAAGTTACCGACATTGTCCAATGTATCCCGAAAAATCGATAACCTATGGAGAAGAAAGGTTTCCGAGTGGCAGCCTCCTGGTAAGCGGAGTAAGATGACCACTAAATACATGTCGAATGACCAGGTAAAACATGGAGGATGTTGATGTATCTGGGTGGCTCAAGACGTTTCGCAGTACGCGAGCAACCCGGGTTCGATCTCCGCCGGTACCAATGAAATTGGTAATTGCAATTTTAAGTGCTGATTTACCACGTGCTCGGCTGTGAAGGAAAACATCGTGAGGAAACCTGCATGTCTGAGAAATAAGAAAAAAATATTTCGCAGATATGTGAAGTTTGCCAACACGCATTGGGGCAGCGCGGCGTACAGTTCCTTGCCCTAAAACTCTCTCAGAAATGAGAGAAGGCCTGTGCCAAGCAGTGGGACGCATAGGTATGGGGCTGTAAGCTGTAACTTTATCTATTCTTCATCCCCAACTTTGTGATATGCAGACTGCCATTAACAGAAAAAATAAAAAGATAGGACGCCAACATTTAGCTCCAGTTTATATGAAGGTACGTTCGTTAACTCCAAGTAGTTGAAAAAATCGACTGGAAAGACCTATCGTCACTGTTCATAACAGTAATAAATCAATCTGCTATAGGACTCGACACAAAATGGTCGAACCCGAGTGAACGTTCTTCCATTGTTCAAACTGTTCATTTCGTTCATTCGGAGTGGGAGTGAATGATGCCGAATGCCAATATTCAACATTGTTGGATCGATACATAAAATTAACCGTCTGATTCCGCCTTAAGCACTTGTCGCTGTTCGAGTAAACGTGACGCCAGTACATTTACGTGGATTTCTACATTCTCAGCATTGTAGCTGATTTGTGATTAGAGGAAGCATTTATCTACCTTACAAAGTCGCTTGACAATTCTCCTCTTCGCTGCGGTGTGGGCAAATCGCAATCAGTCAATGTTTGCTAGATATTGATATCATTCTACCTTCATTTAACTTGAACGCATGATTGAGAAATAAATCTTTATGTGTGACCTTGAGCTCGTAGTCTATGTGCGACACCCACAGATCATTATTGGTACTCCACAAACAGAATTTTTTTTATTCAATATAAGATTATAAATAATACTTATTGGAAATCGCTCTTTTGCTTAATTACCACTGGTTTGGAAAAAATCCCTTGTCCTGGGAAGAACCAGCAAGAAACACAGCGGGACTTTTTTTTAAATAGCTTACAATGTTACTCAATTAACAAAACAAAACAAATTAGAAATTGCTTGGTAGTATCTTCTGAAAATGCGTCCTTGTATTTATTCCAAAGCTGAAAAGGAAGTATTACGGCGCTTAGTATTAATGTTTAGCTTGTATGATGTCATTATTTTATAAATGCCTATATAATATCTATAAATAGATAGATATAGTAAACACGTATCCAAACACGGAATTCGAATAATGGCTAAATTTAAATTCCACGGGAACTGTGTCATTTTCCGAGATAAATTGTATCCTGTGGGTTATTCCAAGACTAAGGACCCTTTCATCTTTCATCCATATCCGTTCAGCCGAAAATATAATTACAGAATTACACTCTAAATCTTTCCCACAGGAACCGTGTATTTTTTACGAGATATAAAGTAGCCTATATCACTCTTCGGCCTATCTCTATGCATACCTCTATGCAATCATGTCATACCATAATACCATCGCTGCGTGGAAAAAAAAAAGAAAACCAACAAATACCCTTTCACATTTTATAATGTTAATAGGAATACGGATTGCGAAGGAGAACAAAAACTACAACACCAATATAGTCAACAATGATATTTATTTGGAAGCTTTCTCCGTAATACTAGGTTAGGTGTTAAGGTATATACATAAACATAAAAAACGTTCGAAAATTAGGAACGTGCCGCTAACATATCCGTGAAACTATACGTAATACGTAATTATGGTGAACACTTACAATAGAACTATAATTTCGGTAGTATGACGTGTTATCTTACGCGACGTAGTATCACAATAAGCAAATAATAATAAAAATAAATAAAATGGTCCATAAATAATACTAAATGTAGTAATACGTCAAAATAAATAATTTTGTTAATACTTTATTAAACACGTGATAAATGAATGAAGTTAATAATAAAAACTTTGGTTTACATTGAGTCATTTACATTAATTTCTATTTACAAACATTTGATGAACAAAATGGTCTTGATGATTTAAAATCAGTATATACACATGTATACAAAGAAGGATTACGAACGCGGATTGTATTGGGACTCTCTTACAAAAATCTATTAAATTTATTCATAAATTTACTGAATAATCATTAATTGAACACACAGGCTCCTTACTTCAAATTTATTGGCAATAACACATGGCACGTTACACAATTTTTTGTTGCAAGCTATGTCCTCTCTAAGCATACAATGTGACAATAGCCTTAAATTGAGTTAATATTACTATATTATTGCACATTCAGGGTGCACATTACACATAAAAGGATTAATTTCACTTGAATAAAGAATTATATAGACATAACGTAACAATACGTGGCGTCGTGAGGATATAGCTTCGGCAAAAAACTTATACGAGTTCCGCTAATGTGGCATAATACGAGGACCTTATATATAGCATATACATATATATAAATATATACAACGTGTTAAATCAATGCGTGTCCATTCCAGAAGAGACCATGTATTTCAATAAATATACAGAATATAAATATAAGAACATTTAAATTATGAATATCTCAGAATAAGAAAGAGTACGTAACGAACACTCAAGTGGCACTTCCGCACACTTAAGCACCTAAACCAAGTTGTTGGTTGCAAATATATAGAATATAAAATAGTGAAACTAATAAAACAGTTTTACATACTTATATATACGACTATAGTTATAGCAATCACTATTACAAATACGTCTATATATTAAGAACCCGTTGGCGTGTATAATTATTAAGAGTGCACGAATATTATTCCTATAATGAAGCTGTATGGTGAGCGACGAGCTAAAAATTTTTCATTAAAGCTGTCCGCAACCTAAGGCTGTATTGAATGATATATTATTACTATGCAAATTGTGAACATGCAAACTTTTATACTAACGTTAAACTCCGTGTACTAAATTTATCACAAGCAACTCTGTTATTTCGAATTTAAGGCATATACAATGTTACCGATACAATAGTATTAATCTATAATTAGTGCTTGTTTTATACTTGACTAAAATCATTTAATATAAGAAATGTAAAACGACACTCCCTTCGGCAGTATTTCAAATACTCTGTCGATAGATTTTTTGATGATGGATTCCCCGTTTTTATTTATAAAATAACAAATTCAAAAAGTTGTATATCGACTCTGAACAATTTGTTACGATTTACTTATTTTAACAATCTTTTGTTTAAAAGTACAAAGAGGTTTTTTCTTACAATATAAATGAGCTAAGTGATTATTAAGCTAATATTTATTACCACATAATATGTTTGCTAAAATGCCAACAGCCTGGAGGCTAAGCGCTCGCTGTAAATTTCATAGAACGCGAGCAATACGAATTTAACGCCCTCCGGCATCAGTGAAATTATAAATTGCAATTTTAAGTACTGATTTACCATGTGCTCGGAGATAAAAGGGAAAATCATGAGGAAACCTGCATGTATGAGAAATTTCGAAGGCACGTGAAGAACACTTCCATAATCTACAATACTCTCAGAAATGGGAGGAGACCTGTGCCAAGGAGCGCAATGTGTATAGTATTAATGTATAATATGATATATAATGTATATTCTATAATATCAGCAATATTATATAGAAGTCATGTACATATGACATTTAACTGTTTATAATGAAAAAATATCTCCGTAAATGCGAAATTGACATGTTTAATAAATGTATGAATGTGTATTTCGAATAAGTGTAGCAACAACTTTTGTTCAAAATTATAATTACGTGTAAAATTTAAGGATAATAAATATTGCCTCATATATTCACTTGGTCCATAAATATAAATGATACATGCTCTCGTAATCCCTCTCATAAGTATAATAATCCGCGACAATATTAGGTTATTGCTTCGTACAAATAATATTTCAGACTAGAATAATCTGAATCAACATTCCTTACTTGTAAGTCTACATAAATTTTCACAGTATTAAATGCACCTATAAGTTTAACACAAAGATTTAAAATTTAAATAGATTTTTCCTATTTAATACTGTGTCCGTATATGACACAATCATTATTTATTAAATAATTAACGGTCTTATAAATATAATGTACATTGTTGTCATAAGATATTTCCTATAATTAAAAACTACAATCAAAATATTTTAGTGTTTTCAAAATGGCGGTGAAATAGAATAAATTCATAAACAAACAGTCACGAATAGTAACAAACACCACACAATTTGCTAAATTTAATATAAAAAGTACATTATTATAAAGTTTGCGCGTAAAACATAAAAAATAAAGAGTAACAACAATAGACAAATTACAAATTTAAAGTGCAGTGCGCCAAATGATGATAAATTCTTTCAGAACATTGGACGATATAGTTTTATCAAACCTAGAAAGATTTGATAATGCTAGGGAATAGTTTTGACCGATCCTTATAGAAGTGAGCCTTACATAAATACAATTATAAATTAGTATCTGTATATAATTCTCGAAAGAGTATCATTTAGTTGACTATCTGTGCCACGCAATGGTTAGGGCAGTACGGAGTTTACCCCACAGCCATGGGTAAAGCCCGCCACCGCTCCACGCCGCACGGGCTACGTACTTAACGTAGTCATATATCCCCCAAGGGGCGTGTCCCCCATTTAAGTAGTACACATAAGTAAAACCGTCCTTACACCGTCCTTTTATTGAGTAGTAGTACGGAAGAAACGAGTGCAATCGAAATCTGCAATTAAAATGGAATTGATAAGCAAGCAAGCTAAACTCTTGTTGTCTACTCGTTACTCAAACCACCAAACACAAAATGGCATTAGTGAAAATTTCGAAAAACATTTTTTATATCACATATGTGTCCATATATCTTAAAAGATTTGCCCATCCGCATTCCGCACCTCTCTGGGCGGGATCATCATTACAGTCCTTCACAAGTCTACTGGTGAACATAGGCCTCCCCCAAGTTATGCCACAAAGCACGCTCCTGAGCCACCTACATAAATCGACTTCCTGCATGTCTTACCAGGTCGTCACTCAATGTAGTGAGGGGTTCTGCCACTGGAGAACCTTTTGTCCCCATCGGTTGTCGGTTCTTCCAGGCCATTGCCCATTGACACTTCAACTTACTAATCCGTTGGGCTATGTCGGTCACGCTGGTTCTACTGCGGATATCCTCATATCTAAGTTTATCACGCAAAGAACCACCGTAAGACTTAGATACGGCATATTCGTTGATGATTTTAATGCTATCTTTCGGTTGCCATAACACCCTACATTAATAAACAGGATTCACCGCGAACAGGTAATGCAACGCTTCTATCAAAGATTGACTGCCTCAAAGCTATATCTTGAGTCACATGCATTCATCACTCCTTGCATTTCGTAACATTGTCAACCTATCTAATGATGATTGCTCTACACTACACTTGCTAGTATGAATCAGCCACTTGTTTTCTCCCCCATTAGTTGTCAACTCTACAAACTGCCAGCTTAGTTGCTACTTCCTTTTACTGGTTTAGATGTTTAAAGTCTAACAATTCGCATTATAGCTATCCTTACCAAGTATTCACCTAATGCTTATTGACTTCAACATACCCATGAGAGTAAACAGAAAAATAGTTGTATGATGAAATATTTTTCGCATTTTCACCATTTCAGACTACATAGATAATTCCAAATACAGACATTGATAAGTGCTCAATTTTAAACCTTACCTTCTTTTTTCATAAAAATGTATAGCCTCATTATTGGTGGTGAGTACATGAAGGAATATAGCTTTGACGCGGTGTTCATGCGGGAGATGCGCTACTGGTCCTGCTAGGTGATTGATCAACACGTCCAACAACATTGTTGCTACGCCAGAGCGACGGTACGAACGCACAACTCCTGAAAAAAGAAATGTTTACCGATTATTAAATGGTCACACAGAAAAACAAATCTCCACAACAAACAGAGATCTACACGTAGCAATGTGACAACTGTGCGGTGCCAGATTGCAATAATCGCGACCCATCGGCTGTAGATTTAGTGCTAGACGCTACACCGCGACATAGAAAAAAACTTGGCCTGCCAAGCGTGGTAATTATGGTAAATATCCTCCCCATATAAAAAACCTATAGTTAGCACATGTTTCTTCCAATTATGAAGCCATTTATATTACCATATTTACCATAATTTCACACATTGTTGGTTCACTAGCAAGCGCAATATTGATTGTCTTGGACCTTATAAAACATTTGTCAGTATATAATAGCAATGTTATATTCAATGTAGGTCTGATATTATATCATATCATCACAATACAATTTGGGTGGACATTTGAAAGAAAATAAAGCTCATATATTCATAAAGATCGGAGTGAAACATTGTATAATTAATTTCTATTTAAAAAAAGATATAATATGTGTGTAAAATATCTTCTTCTTTATAGAAGAATATAGAATAGGGTATTTGAAGCTGCAGGCTATTCCATAGATGAGTCCTACTAACTTTTGTGAGGTTATGCTTGTGCTTTGATTACTTGAGAAGGACTTGCTTGAGTAAATCATTCATTTGGGTGAGAATTTTTTCACAATCTTTGCTCCAGTTCAGTTCACAAATAATAACCATAGCATATGTGGTTCAGTGGTTTCAAATCAGCACTCTAAAATAGCCATTTATTCAAGGCTGATGAATCCTGGTGAAGTATTGTCAAACAGTAAAATGGCGATTTTACTGTTTAACAATTATATTCATGTCTTTGAAGCAAAAATAAAGAGAAGTGAAACTTGCAGATGACATACCCCACCATATTAACAAACTTACAGAAAGATTATTGCACTGAATTACCCATAAAAGGTAATTGAAATATCTGAAAATGGACTGAAGAAGTTAAGTATTTTAACCCACAAACACCATTCGAAATCATTGCTTATTTAGTTAACATAAAAGTTGTGTTGCATTAGGCATAGAATATTGCAGTGGTGCAGCAATATTTTCGGGGATAGCATTTTGGGAAAAGAAGCTCGGCTCCCTGCTTTTCTTTTTAAATGATACCAGTAAAAAGCTGAAAAATGTAGCTCCAAGTTTTGAAAAGTATTGTGTATGTGACACACTTGTCAAAGCAAAGATGCTTGCTTCTTAAGATACTTGCAGGAATGAGAAGGGAGGGAAGTGAAAGCCAGCATGTTTGGCAAAGCAGCTTCAAACACTAGCTACCTATTTTACACCACTGGCATATTGAAGAAGAGTGGGCTTTCTATTGACAATATTTTTATTATTGTGGTACAGGAAGCCCATAAATGCAGGTGACTCAGGACTGTACTTTGTGACATTCCTTTTGGAGGCCTATTTTCAGCAGTGGACTTGTAATGCGCTGTAATGATGATGATGATGATGAAACACTAAAAACTTTAAAACGTTTTATTACACAACACCACCATGCAACTTGGATCACCCCATTCCCAAGGATGTCATAAGGTCATAAGAGGTGACTGTGGCAAATGCCAGTAATAGTCTGATAGAGGCCAATCTGATTGGTGAAGACCAATGTGTCTACCAAGCATAATTATTGTGACAAATCCTACTATTTACGTGCCATGTAGAACCAGTACCCCATATCATCCCGTGGGTGTCATATGATGTGACAGAGGGAAACAATTTAGGAGACGGGCAGCAGCATCTTCCTAATAACAACTAAAAATAAAAAAACTGCAGTTGCCAACCCACTTGCCAAGTGTGGCAAACTATGGCAAATATGAGGCAATCTAGGGGGGAGGCCAATGGTCAGCAGTGGACTTTCATAGATTGTAACGGTAACGGTATAGTTTGAAAGGCATAGAAAGTAAAATTTTATGAAGAACTAATTATTACAGATGAAACGGATATCCGGTAACTATCAGGTATTCGGCCTATCCGGCCTAAATTACTATCCGGCCGGATACCGATAATAAACAGCTATCCGGATACCGGATTTAAAAAAATACAAAATTTCAAATTTAGTTAAGTACTTTATTTATGTCACTTAACAAAAATAATCAGTAATCACAAAATTTTCATTCTAAAACTTAGAAAATTAGTACTCATACTCGTACTAAGGGTAAATTATGGTGAATAAATACAAAGAACAATGGCAGACTTTCATACATAAAATTAGTTGAGAAGGAATGGTAACGTCTATGTATCAAAAATATCTTAAAATGTTAAGCGTCAGTCACTTAATAACTCTGTCAAAGAATTTTGTCCTGAGGTGTCAAAAAAAAGATATTTACATTAAGCCTTTTTAGGTTGTCTTATGTCACTTGGAAAAAGTCATGCGTCCTGTGGTTGTTTGATGTTATGTTAGCTTAATACATTCTCAACATAATGTACCTACCTACATAATTGAGAGTTTTTAGATTATTGTATCTCTATTCTATATTTGCATCCTATAAATGTATATTTCTGGCATGGCTCCAGGGCCTTTGTGTCATACAGTGACATTCTCAAAAGCGCTAAAACCCAGAGCCGTAAAGCCAGTAAAAAAATAGTGACTTTTTGTTTTAGCAAGAGTCGCCATAACATTAAATGGAATTGTTACATTGTACTTTGATCGAGATAATGTGTTATTGTAGGAAGTTCTTTGTAAGAGACTTATTTTCAACCATATCACTTTTATTTTTATTATTACTGATAGTATAGTTATTACTAATAATAACTTAATATAAAAATATTTTGTGTTTGTGTGTTGCGTTGGTAGTCGTACAAAGTGTATACGAAAATAGTATGAATATAGTAAATGGCAACACTTAAATAGAGTAAAATGATTTAAGTCATTTGATATTCCCAAAAAGGTTTGTTTTTTTCTGTGGCTTTAATTAAAATACATTTTTATTTGAAAAATTATAGAAAAATAATAAAACTTATTTCATATATAACTTCTTTCTAGACGCAATAATTTTTGTCAACTATTTTTCTGCCATTGTTCTTTGTAATTTTTCTGCATTGAAAGGTAACAAGCGGTTTCGCTTGTCTTTATCAACAAAGCCAGCTTCAGAAAAGATTATTTCATTGTAAACACTGCTGCAGGGTAGTGAAAGATAGATTTTGGCAAACTTTGATAAATTAGGGTATTGTGTAGCATTAACTGCCCACCAAATATGAAGGTCATGATTGAGTGCAATTTGCACTGGCTTTAGACACAAATCATTCTCAAATGCATTGGTGTTTCTCTCTTCATAGTGAGACTGGTTAGTATTGTTTTCATTTGCTACTTCATTAAAGCAATCCCAGAATGTGTAATGAGCTTTGCGAGATACAGCTGACTCTGTCTCCTGTCCTCTACTATTTTTAGCTGGTGTTGAAGATGATATGCTACTGGAGGACTCTTCACAAGACATTTTTAAGTATTCCAATAGAAATTCCTGGCGAGCTCTTTCAATTTCAACCACTCCCAGGTCATTTTGAATATCGGGTCTAGGTAAGTAGCCATCAAGTAGTTAAGATTCTTCACTTAAGTTAAGTTGACACGACTTTCTAAGCTAACCTCAAACAATTGTGTTTGCGATCAATACAACAAGTCAATGAAACAATTGCTAAATACGCTCATGAACGGAAAGACCCGAAGTGGCCCAAGTCCCGCGTGCACAAAATCGCCACCACTAGTGCCACCTAACCACCAAACGGTAATGTTAGGCAGAATATCCGGCGGCCAGATATCCGGCAATAAGATTGGCGGAATATCCGGTATCCGGCCAAACAGCTATCAGTTTCATCTCTACTAATTATCATGCAATGATGATGTTGATGGTAATGATGATAATGATAATGATTTTAATGATAATGATGATAATGAAGATGATGTTTAAAAAAAAGAATGATTACCTAAGGACAGGATGTATGCAACAAGTGTATCTTTTGATGCAAACCATCTTGAAAGAATTCCTCGGTCTTCTGCATTTAACTTAAGGTATGGTTTAATCTCAGCAACTATAAGACCAATAATTTGAGTTTTGTAAACTGCTGCCAGTGCAAAAAATCTCTCTGATGATGTAATGTCTTCATACCATGACTGTGGGTACTCTATTGGAAACCAATCTCTACATAAAGACCTGACCTGAAATAATAAGTAGTTGATTATAACAATAACATATACCTATAATTTTTTTAACAGTAAAATTTTATGCAACACGCAGGGCAATAGTATGTTTTTATTACAAATATCTTTTTCATCATTGTCGGCCCATAAAAGTCCACTGCTTGTACCTGGCAGTCGCCCATACATAAGCTGCACTAAAAGTATCGGGAATGGAATATTTCCACTGTTCCTGTCATATTAAAATCTTTTTAATTGAAAAGTCCTTGGTTTTTTAAAATTGAATACCATTTATTTAAAAAAAGATTCTCGGTCTTGTCACAAGGTTTTATCAAACTTGTTTAGTCGTTGAGAAAATGGAATTGACTCGAGAAAATTCAAGAGCGATGATTTATTATGACTTTCAAAGTGGTTTAACACAAAAACAGTGTGCTGACCGGATGATTTCTGCATTTGGTGATGAAGCCCCATCCAAAACCACAATTTATCGCTGGTTTGCTGAATTTCAACGTGGACGTGTCAATCTCAGTGATGATCCCCGTCAAGGTCGTCCAAAAACTGCAGTCACCCAAGAAAACGTTGATGCTGTGTGTAAGCTGATTGAGGAAGATCGACATGTGACATACCGCGAAATTCAGACAACTTTAGACATTGGCATGAGTCAAATACAAATAATCTTGCATGAACAATTAGGTGTAAAAAAGTTTATTTCCCGATGGATACCGCATTCGCTCTGTGAAGAGCAAAAAGCGGCTCGCGTTACTTGGTGATACATCGTATCAGGTGACGAATCCTGGATATACGCATACAAACCCGAAACAAAAAACCAGTCACGAATTTGGGTGTTCGAAAATGAGTTAAAGCCAACAAAAATTGTTCGTTGTAGTGTTGCAAAAAAAATGGTGGCCACGTTTGTCTCCAAAACCGGCCGTGTTACGTCTATTCCTCTTGAGGGATAAAGAACGGTTATTGCAGAATAGTATACTAGCATTTGTTTGCCAGAGGTCGTTTCTGAACTCCGTAAAGAGAACTGCTACCGCCACATCATCCTCCATCACGACAATGCGAGTTCTCACACTCCACACAGAACAAAAGAGTTTGTAGGGCAAGAAAACATAGAATTATTAGACCATCGGCCGTACAGCCCCGACCTAAGCCCTAATGATTTCTATACTTTCCCTAAAATAAAGAATAAATTGCGTGGACAGAGATTTTCATCACCTGAAGAAGCTGTGGACGCCTACAAAACGGCCATTTTGGAGACCCCAACTTATGAATGGAATGGTTGCTTCAATGATTGGTTCCATCATATGGAAAAATGTGTCAAATTTCGCGGAGAATACTTCGAAAAGCAATAAATACATTTTTAAATAGTAATGTTGTGTCACTTCCTTGATTCCCGAAATTTTCAGTGCCGCCCTCGTAGTAGTTTTATCTCAATTGTCATGTTTGACACTGATTAATTGTATACTTAATTGTATCTTATCTTAGTTAATTGTAAATGAAACCTATTAATACTATGAGAACTCATTATATTATATGAAAGTAATTTTACTATAAAGAAGAAATAAAAATCGACCATATTTTGAATTATAAAAAAGGTTAACTGGAGATTACTCCTTACTTCTTCTAAATCATCAGGGCACAGGAAACGTAACTGAACATCTTTTAAGGAACATTTAGCTTCTTTTGACTTCTCAATTATAACTTGAAAGCCTTCAGAGAGATACCTGTAAAAATCTGGTATGTTATTCATTATTACTATTAAATGAAATAAGAGAATATATTATATTTTAATGAGTCTATTTAACATGTAATATTAAACTCGTCGAATCGTAAATTAAGCAATTGTGTCCAATTACTATTTAAGTGAAGACAATAATCATACAAATACTGTCGAAGTACTTGCTCTTAATTAAATGTCAATAACAGAAATTACTCACCAGCTGAAGCCAGCCATTCGGTAAATTTGCCATTAATACTAAAGTTTAAATACACCTCATTAATAACCTGTTGCAATCATTGTCATAAAAATAAATTAAAAGATTTTAATCAACTATGAAAAGTAATATTATCAAATTGTTACTTTGACATTTTACATACTTTGAAAATTTAACATCTGTCATCTGTCAATTGGTGCTGTTATGGTTCATCAGTTAAGGCAGGCGAAGTTCTTAGACCATACAGCCTAGTCTGACGTGTCTTTTTCCTTCACATGTTATTTTTGAGAAATTTTGACATTAATTTAATCTATAGTTCGGCCGTTCAGAGAATGCGTTCCTGACACGTCGCGATTGAACTGACGACGTAACTTTGTAATGGCGTTACAGTTACGATAAAAATATTTTTGCTGGTTGTTTACCGTTTTAACAATTGATGAGTATTAAAACAACATTATTATATCATTAATCAATGAATGTTATAATTTTGTGCCAAACTGAGTGTCAAATAACTTAATAAACAATATTTTTCTAATTTTATACTGCGCTATTACAAGGTTATGTCAACGCTTTATATTTGTAGTGCTGTGCTAACAATAACAGGCAATAACAGTATCGTAATCTGTTCTTATACAGTTATACTTTATAAAATAATACGTTTTGTTTTTCTTTTTAAGAATTTGAAAGTAATTGACTATAAGATAACTTTTATTAAATATAAAAATAATACTACGACCAAACCGAACGCGCGAAAGAAAGTAGCATTTTTATATTTAGGTTGAAAATGGAAACCCCAAATAGCGTTATGGGCCGCCATTTTGTGACGCTAAAACAGTCGTCTGTTGTCGTTTCGTGCGCATAGATCACGTTCTTCAAGTGTTTTCGATCTGTTTTTATTTGATTACTCGGCTTTCGTTTAATGGACTGTTTCTGCTTTTCAAACTGACATCGGCGCTAAATCGGATTTCGATTGTGTTTTGTATTGCGTTCTTTTTACTTTTGGTGCATAATAATGCCTAAATGTGGACAAACATTGAAAAGTGAAACCCGTGAGTTAATCATCAAGCTGCAAGATTACTTTGAGCGGGAGCGGCAAAATGGCGGACCCCTGTTACCTGTCGAACAAGTACAAGAACGCGTCTCTCAGGCGCTTGGAGTTAGCAAACGAACGATAACAAATATTAATAAAGAAAAGTTCGGCTCTACTGGCACGGAAGATAATATTTTACGTACTCCGAAGAAGAAACTTAGAACTAAACCCGTGACAGATATTGACATCTTTAACGCCGATGCAATCAGAAATGATATAAAAAAAAAATAAAAAAAATAACACAGTCATTAAAGTCAAATGCGGTGGGTGCAGACGGTATTTCCTTGGATATGTTAAAAATGTCTTTTCCCGTAACAATACCTGTTATTACGGAGATAATTAATAAATCAATTACAACGCAAACATATCCCTCAGAATGGCAGCACGCACTCATCAGACCTATACCCAAAAACTCAAATCCTATTACCATGAAGGACATACGCCCGATTAGTATACTCCCCTGTGTATCAAAAATCCTGGAGAAAGTCGTGGCTGAGCAGGTAAAAATATACTTAGAAACTAACGATGTGCTTCCCAGTCTTCAGTCAGGGTTTAGAAAACACCACAGTACGTCAACCGCTATGATAAATGTTGTCGACGATATACTATCAGATATAGACAGTGGCAAAGGAACGATTTTAACCTTGCTAGACTTTTCCAGAGCATTCGACTGTCTTAATGTGCCATTGCTTTTGTCTAAATTACATTACTACAGTTTCGACATATCTGCGATAAAATGGTTGGAAAGTTATTTCGAGCATCGTATACAGCAAGTAGAAATATCAGACGAAAATGGGTTACCAGTCATTTCGAACGCTCAGGCTGTCAAACAAGGCGTTCCGCAGGGATCTATCCTAGGACCTATTTTGTTTGCCGTGTATTGTGCGGATATAACAAATTGTATTAAGCATTGCAAATACCATATGTACGCGGATGATACACAGATATATATACCTTGTAAACCGGGGGAGACTAAATTAGCGGTGGAAAAATTAAATGACGATCTCGAAAGAATTGCAGCTTGGTCAGATTCGAACGCATTAGTCCTTAATGGAAGCAAGTCTAAATATATGATTCTAGGTACGGCTCAGCAAATACAAAAAATAGCAAAACATGATGCTAAAGTAACCATAAGGAGCGAACGAATTGAACGCGTGACTGAGGCTCGTAATTTGGGTTTGTTGATAGATGACAAGTTACGCTTTGAAAGTCACATAATAAACACTGCAAGAACATGTTTTTATAGGTTAAAAGTATTATATCAAATTAGAAATTGCCTAAATACCGATATGCGGATAAGACTGTGCGATTCTTTGATTCTGTCTAAATTTAATTATATGGATATAGTGTATGTGTAGTGTGTATGTGTCTGGACAAGTTTCTTGCTATGCCCTCGTCTGCTTGTGCATAGCAAGAAACTTGTCCAGAGGGTGCAGAATGCTTGTGCGAGATTTTGTTTTAAGATACCTCCACGAGCTCACGTCACGCCGTACATAAACGAGCACAATATTTTAAAAATGCAGTATAGGCGAGAACACCACCTAGCCACATTTCTATTTGGATTAATTAAATATAATGTACCACCTTATCTTTATCACAAATTAGTGTGGTCTCGCGACGTACAATCAAAGATCACTCGCGCGTCATGTTACTCTTTGGTTGTACCCTGCCATCGTACCATCGCCTTTCGTGGAAGTTTCAAATACTCTGCCTCTAAATGCTGGAATAACCTGCCGCCACCGCTTCGTAGTCTGAAAACATTAAATACATTTAAATTAAAATATAAAACTCACCTAATTATTGTTCAAAAAGCTATGGCTTGATATTTACCTACCTAAATAATTACAGACACTTAGCGCTGTCCGGCGGGGTCATACGGAAAGCATAAGAGTGCATAGTACTTTATTTTTTATTTTTTGATACTTAAATGCTGAAATAAAAGCGTTTTTCATGCTATTAATTATAACTATGATACAAGTATATGTTTAACGTGCAATCATTAGTGACTTTATTAAAATATTGTTTCTGGTGATAATATTGTTGCTTAAGATTATGGTTATGATTACATACCTGTGAGAAAATATTTTTGTAGGATGCCATCATTTAGTGTTTCTTCTTTCATATTATTCCCAACTAATACCTCATAGATATATGACTCTTATGGTGATAACAATACTTTTAAAAAAAAATTTTCGGACATTCTTTGTACTAGATCCAGTTAGTTCATTCATGTAATCTATGTTAATTATTATTAGTCTATCAATGACGGTGTGAACGTCCGTGCGTCACTTAATTCACAGGCCCACTGAAAACCAGCGCTGTAGTCTCGTATCGACTGCGGCATTAAGCTGAGTGCGGTCTGTTTGCCGTGTACGCCACACACACTTGTGTGCGTAAAATGTGTGATGTGTTTAATATTTTTTTTTTGTTTTGTATTCTTCTTTTTTTCTTTTTTTTTTCTTTTTACTATCTATGTATTTTTTATGTTTATGGTTTAAATGTACATGTGGCGTATTTGAGCAATAAATGTTTTCTTTCTTTCTTCTTTCTTTCTATATATATGGTTACTATTCCAGAAATGAATATCTCAACAGGAAGAAGCTTTTGGCATCGTTAAGAGAAGCTGGACTGTTTAGCGGGAATAAAACTGCTTTAACCAATATCTTAAAAGATATTGGTTTTTCGTATAAAAAAACAGACAAAAGAAAAATTTTATTAGAACGACATAATTTTAAAACGGAAAAGTTTTTTGAGAGAAGCAAAAAATATTGATAACTGGGATAATGTCGTATTCATTGACGAGACATGGCTAAACGCCAATAACACGGTTTCCCGTTCTTGGACGGATGATACACAAGCGTCGACGTCGAAAGTACCAATGGGTAAGGGGGCCCGACTGATAATATGCCACGCAGGTTCTGCAAAATACGACTTTGTGGAGAACGCGTTACTGGCATTTCAATCAAAAACCACAAATGACTATCACGAGGAAATGAATGCCACTACATTTAAAGAGTGGTTCCAGAACGTGCTTTTGCCCAGCCTACCAGAGCCTTCTGTAATATTCATGGATAATGCCTCCTATCACTCGGTTCAAATACAGAAACCACCTACCCAAGCTAATAAAAAAGAAGAAATGGTGGCTTGGTTACAAGCAAAAGGCATTGACGCAAATATGCAGATGCTAATACCAGAGCTAATTAAATTAGTTAAAGAAAATAAAGCGGCAAATGTGCGATACGAAATCGATGAACTGGCTCTGGAGTACGGTCATCGCGTTCTAAGAATTCCACCGTATCATTGCCAATATAACGCGATTGAGCTAATCTAGGCTCAAATAAAAGGTTGCGCCGCCCGCCACAATACTTCCCCGCCATTCAGCACGAAAAAGATGATGACTCTATTAAAAGAAGCCTGCGGGGAAGTCACAAGAGATGACTGGGAAAAGGTTGTTGAGAAGACTAAAAACCTGATTGTGGAACGCATTTTGACCGAGATATCAGGATTGATTCTGTTATTGATAATAATATAATTATACATGTAGGCGAAGATGATGATGAAGACACCACCTCCTCAAGCGAATCGGAGTCTGATTAATATTCTGTACGCACATTCAATTCAATGTACTTTATTGCATAGAAATACAGATTGTAACTTTGTAACAAAGAATAAATAAAACAATTTTATTATATTAATATTACCTTTTTTTGCTTTCCACTTAAATTACTAAAATATAAAGTTTAAATGATTCCGCCAATTTAAAACGAAAATAATCTTAAAAATAACGCGGCGGTTCATTTTGGAGGAACGGTAACGAACTCAGTGTTATGTTGTGCCCATCACTAGTTGTGACTAACTGATAGGTGTCAGGAACGCATTCTCTGAACGGCCGAACTATAGCAAACAATATGACTTTTAAAAAAAATGCAG